AAAAAAAAAAAAGACATACTGCAACTACAAGCTGAACAGAATTAAGAAAGCCTTGAAGACTACAGAAAGTGTCAACAAGCAGACAGACAAACTGAAGGAGTTTTATGGACAAGCGTTATGCCGTTTGGAATGCTATGATGAATGCTTAGCAGTATACACAGATCTCACCTGAAACTCCCAAGATGATTATGATGAGGAAAGGAAAATAAACCTTTCAGCAGTTGTTACTCCCCAAAGCAATTGGGGAAAAGTTCCAGAGAACTTGGGCCTCCAAGAAGGCACACATGAGCTGTGCTACAACACTGCACGTGCGCTGATTGGACAAGGCCAGCTGAACCAGGCCATGAAAATCCTACAAAAAGCTGAAGATCTTTGCCGCTGTTCATTATCAGAAGACTCTGATGGGACTGAGGAAGACCCACAGGCAGGACTGGCCATCATTCATTGTCAGATGGCCTATATTCTGCAGCTTTGGGGTCGAACAGAGGAGGCTTTGCAACTTTACAGTCAAATAATAAAACTGAAACCAACAGATGTGGGATTACTAGCTGTAATTGCAAATAACATTATTACCATTAACACGGACCAAAACATCTTTGACTCCAAGAAGAAGGTGAAATTAATCAATGCAGAAAGAGTGGAGTTTGAGCTTTCCAAGAAACAACTACAAGCTATAGAATTTAACAATGCTTTACTTGCTATGTACACAAGCCAGGCCAATTAATGTCACAAAATATCCACCAGTTTATAGTCCCAAAGTCCCGAGCATCTCCCACCTGTGTTAATCCAAGCTGCCCAGGTTTGCCTGGAAAGCAGCACACAAAAACAATAGAGCTGCTTCAGGAATTTTCAGATCAACATCCAGAAATGCAGCTGAAATGAAGCTGATCATGGCACAGCTGAAAATTTCTCAAGGTAATATTTCTAAGCTTGTGTAATATTGAGAAGCATAGAGGAGTTAGAGCAGAAACCAGGCGTGGTGTCTGTATTCGTAATCATGTATCGCCATGAAGAAGAGATTGATATTGCCATTGAGGTCTTCACACAAACTATTCAGTGGTGTCAAAACCATTGGCCCAAATCTCCTGCTCATTTGTCCTTGATGAAAGAAGCTGCAAACTTCAAACTCAAATATAAACAGAAGAAGGAGGCAATTAGTGACCTAGAATAGCAATAGAAACAAAATCCAAAAGATTTTTACACCCTGGCACAGCCTATTTCTGCTTACTCACTTGTAGATCCAGAGAAAGACAGAGCTCTTTGTGAACACTTGTCATTATCAGAAAGTATGTCTCTAAAAGTAGATGTCAAGGCTCTTGAAAATTCTCCTGGTGCTACATACATTTGGAAGAAGGGTGGAAAAGTTACTGGAGATGGTCAACGAAAGGGGCAAGAGTGGGGAAATTTGAAAAAGAGAAAAAGACGGGAAAATTGCCTAAGAATTATGATGCAAAAGTTACCCCAGATGCAGAAAGATGGCTACCAAAGCAAGAACATTCTTATTACGAGGGAAGAAAGAAGGGTAAAAGTAAGGATTAGATTGGAAAGGGGACCCAGGGAGCAACTGCAGGAACTTCATCAGAACTGGATGCCAGAAAAACTGTGAGCAGCCCACCCACCTCCCCAAGACCTGGCAGTGCAGCGACACTATCTGCCTCTACAAGTAACATCATACTCCCAAGACACAGAAACCTGCAGGGGCTCCAGCAACAAAAAAGAAACAGCAACAGAAAAAGAAGAAAGGTGGAAAAGGTAACTGGTGATGAGAATATTCTTGTTGCAGGCTGTTTTTTAAACTAGTCTCAGGAATATAATTTTAAACTAGTCTAGGAATGTAATAAAGGTAACACACCAAGAAGAAGAAGAAAAAAAAAAGAGGCTGCAGTGCGCTATGAATGAACCACCACACTCCAGCCTGGGCAACAGAGAGAGATTCCATCTAAAACAAAAAGTTCATTTAAGTTTTATAGGAAAATCACTGAAGGTTCAAAAGACAAACTATTCACTCAAAAGGAAATGATCTCACAAGGCTTAAATGTCTTCTAATCTAATCCAATGCTGGCTGACAGAATCAAATGTGGTGTGACTATTTTTAATTATAGGCTTGATTTCTCCCTAAAATCAGAGAAAATAGGGTTGGAGTCCATATGGGAAGGAGAAAGAAGGGATAAAAGATGAGGAAGGCAAAGGCCAGATCACGGAAGGCTCTTATATCATCCCCAAATATTTGGAACAGGGGCCACAGGAAAAAAAAAAAGGAACCCCAAAAAATGACATGATCATTCTGACAGTCATTTTAGAAAAATGACTCTGTCAGGGCCAGGAGTGGTGGCTCACGTCTGTAATCCCAGCACTTTGGGAGGCTCAGGTGGGCGGATCACATGAGGTTAGGAGTTCAAGACCAGCCTGGCCAACATGACAAAATCCCATCTCTGCTAAAAATACAAAAATTAGCTGGGCGTCACGGTGGGTGCCTGTAATCCCAGCTGCTTGGGAGGCTGAGGCATGAGAATCGCTTGAACCTGGAGGCGGAGGTTGCAGTGAGCTTAAATCACACCACTGCCCTCCAGCCTGGGGCCACAGAGTGAGACCTTGTCTCAAAAAAAAAAAAAAGAAAAAAAGAAAAATGACTGTCAGGAATATGGAGGATACATTAAAGTGCAGAAAAAAATAGGGCAAGAAGACCACTTAAGAGAATAATCGAGATTTTGTTAAATATTTGTATGTGCAAAGACAAGAAGAGGGGAGTCTCTCATCTTTCTGCTTTAAGATCCTAGGTGTATGGGGAAGTCACCAACCAAGGAAGGAAGAAACGCAGGGTCACCTAGGGATGCAGAGTTTGGTTGCAGAAGCCTGCCTTGGATCCCAGGGCTGCCACTCCCAGCTGTAGCACCTTGGGTTTGTGGGAGAGTTCCCTTTTTTTTTTTTTTTCCTTTTTAACACATTTTTTTTTTCTTTTTAACACATTGTAGCAGCCAGATCAACTTCATCATTTACAAAGGGTTGTCCTAAGGATTACTTGAGGAAATGCATGTAGAAACACTGAAAATACTGCCTGGAATCTAGTAAGCTTATAGAATCATTGTCTGTTGTTACTCTTGTCACCATGCGACATAAAAGAGGAACCCGGCTGGGGGATGGGGGGAAGATAAAGAGTTCTGTTTAAGGGCATGTTAGGTTTCAAATAACCTCAGGTCTTTAGGGACCTCCCAGAAAGGATGTCCAGGGAGTAGTTCGCTGTCAGGGTCTAGCTCAGGAGAAAGATGTGGGGCGGGGGTATTATCCGGGAGTTAGCATGCAGTTGAAAGCTCATGTGAGGGGAGGGAATTACCTAGGAAACATCAGGGAATCCAGCATCAGCAATGGAAGTGGAGTGGAGGGGAGAGACTTGGGGCTGAGGTCTCTGACATTGAGGTCAAGGAAGCAGGTGAGCCTAGCCTGGAATCTACTCTCCTGGAGTTTGAACTGCCTAGAGTGGTGGTGTCATGAAATAGAAGACCTAACAAAAGCTAAGTGCTTCACTGACTATGAGGGAATAACCAGAGAGGTGACCTGGGGAAGGAAAAAAGGGAAGAAAATGCCAACAGGTTTTCTCCTCCAGATGAAGATCTAGAAGCAGTGGGAAACAATGAGGACATTGAACCAAACCCTTCAGTTAGTGCATTTTTCACACAGGTTATAACAAAATTGATTGGATGACATTCCCATCCTGAGAATTTCCTGATCACCATAATTACGTCTCATCTTTTCATCTTTTTAATTGAACATTTACAAACCACTTTCAGGGGTACAGGGCCACATAATCAAACCTAATTAATGCCGACGAATAAATTAAATGTTTCTTTCATATCTAATAATACGTAGATGTCCTAGAACTACAACCCTGTTTTTAATTGACTGACATTTAAAGCCTGAAATTTTTATTTCTGTATTAAAAAAAGAGAACTTTGAGACAGTCCCTAAGGAGGCAATTCGTTTTCACACGTTTTAAAAACATATCCACACTCCCTTCCGCCTCCGCTCTCCTCCCTCCTCGGATCTCGTTTCCTCAGCTACGAATCTCGCGAGAAGTCAAGTTCTCATGAGTTCTCCCAGAACCCACCGCTCTTCCTCTTTCCCTAAGCGGCCTGAGGTGAGTGTTTCTCTTGTGTTGTTCCCGGGGCTCAATCCTCCTGCCATCGCCGCCATCCTGGCCTCGGGGGCGTCGGCCTCCAGGTCCCCGGGAGGAGAGCTCCCAGAGCTACTAAATCCTCGCTGGAGGCGGTGGTTTCTTATGCGGGGGGACGTGGCGGAGGGCCCAACTTTGGGATCCGGGGCCGGTCGGTCTTTGAGGTCCGCAGAGGGACGTGATGGGCGGGAATGGGACGACCGGGCTCCTTCACTGGTGGAGCCGCCTGTGGTGCGTGCGGACTCCGGAGATCCAGTGTCCAGTGGTGAGTGATGGCCGAATACGCGTCACATTTGTGGCCGCAACGAGGAAAAGTTTTGGGGGAAATAAAGTCGGGTGGAGGCTTTACACATTTCTACAAGAGTGCTGCGTACCGGAGGGTTCTTAACGTGGGTCATAGCCCGAAGGTGTTGGGCGAGACGGTACTACCTGCAGCCCTGACAGCAAAGGGGTTTCTGTAGAGCGGGAGGGAGGAGGTAGAGGGTTGTAGTTGAGTTGTGCCATGCGGATGCGTCGAGTCATTTTACGCCAGGAAGATCCAGCATTGGATTGAAACAGGCTGTATTTTCTTCCAAAGGGTAGACTGGATTGGTGAGGTCCGTGTGGCTACTTTTGTGGAAGTGCTGTAGTTACTGGCAGATAAAAGGGAAGAAAGCCCTGGGTGGAGGAAAGGATGGCTGCGATGATGGTATTTCTTAGGACACCTTTGGATTAATCATGAAAACAACTACTCTCTGAGCAGCTGTTCGAATCGTCTAATACTTATACTGAGTTACTGTAAGTACGTATTGACACAATTACACTGTACTTTCCTCCAGGTAATCTGTGAAAATGGTTCGCTATTCACTTGACCCGGAGAACCCCACGAAATGTAAGTGGACAGGAGATAGATACCTATTTCCTACTTGGGTGTTGGCATAAGATGCCAAAAATTAACCAAAACGTTTTTTATTTTCTAGCATGCAAATCGAGAGGTTCCAATCTTCGTGTTCACTTTAAGGTATGCGATTCATAGTTGTGATCCAACAGTTCCTCATGTTCCACTCAAAAAAGGTAGCTGCGGTGATGACTTTCTTAGGACACCTTTGGATTTACCGTGAAAATTAATAAATTCTGAGCAGCCACCTTATATTTAGGCATTGATCATCGGGGTGTAAGGATGTAGGGTTTGTGAAATTGAGTAGAAGTACCAGAAAGTCATTTGAAAACCTAGTGTGCAGACCACGATGGGAAATGTTAATGGTACTACATGATGATGGAATAAATGGAGTTTGGGGGTTTTGTCTAGCTTCAACGAAGTTTCCCTGGGTTTTAGTCACAAGGGCTTTTTTTGTTAGTTTGTTTTTTGTTTCTGAGATGGAGTCTTGCTTTGTTACCCAGATTGGAGTACAGTGGTACGATCTCGGCTCACTGCATCTTCCATCTCCTGGGTTCATGCAATTCTTCCTTAGCCTCCTGAGTAGCTAGGATTACAAGCATGCACCACCACGCCTGGCTAATTTTTGTGTTTTTAGTAGAGACAGGGTTTCACCATATTGGTCAGGCTGGTCTTGAACTCCTGACTTCACCCATCTCAGCCTCCCAAAGTGCTGGGATTACAGGTGTGAGCCACCACGCCTGGCCTAGTCACAAGTTTTTTTTAATTGCCTTGCCCCCAAAGAATAGAAATAACTTGACATTTTGAAAAGCCAAAAATTTCACATTTACTTTAAAAAGTAAACAATGCTTTGATCTAGTTAGCCAACACTTTATTCTTCACTCTTAGAACACTCGTGAAACTGCCCAGGCCATCAAGGGTATGCATATTCGAAAAGCCACGAAGTATCTGAAAGATGTCACTTTACAGAAACAGTGCGTACCATTCCGACGTTACAATGGTGGAGTTGGCAGGTGTGCCCAGGTGAGAATTCTTAGTTGCCATTTGAAGAGACAAAATTTAATGGAAAAGTGATGGGATAGGATAAGAATGGCTAAGATCTGTGCCGATAAACCTATTTCTGGTTGCTGTAATGACAGAGGACACCTTGGATTGATGGTGTAATAAACCATGTTCTAAGAAGCCATGATGTCGGATCAGATAGATTCATCTTGGCTGTAATGTTAATTTAAATCAAGGAAAATGACTAATCTCCATTTTCTTTCAGGCCAAGCAGTGGGGCTGGACACAAGGTCGGTGGCCCAAGAAGAGTGCTGAATTTTTGCTGCACATGCTTAAAAATGCAGAGAGTAATGCTGAACTTAAGGTACCCAAACCATTAATATCCTGTGCAACTTGGGTGGTTTAATTAATGTTGGCTGTTCAGATCTATGTCCTTGATTTTAAAATTTCTACCTCCAGTTTCCACGGAACTAAATTATTTCCTTTTTTTTTTTTTTTTTTTTTGAGTCCCTTTATGGCAGAATTCTGTTAAGATCCAGAAGCGTGCCTCTGTGGTCTCTTTAAGCCTAACATTTAGTATTTCTATTTTTCTGCTGTCTTTTTACACTGGAGGTACTTTACCAAGGGCTTTTAACCCTTTTTGTGCCATACACCTTTTTGGTAGTATGGTTAATTATCAAAGTTATTGCCTTGGCAGTGATTAATGTGGTTTGTGACCTGCCTTCATAAAGAGCCATGTTACATTTCGGAAAGAAATTGTTTAAAATTTCAACAAGTTTAAACAATGATAAACTTGTGTTGACAAAACACAAATTTCTCCATTTTGTATATTACCCATTAGCCTTTTGCACTTGAAGGTCTGGGCCAGAACTGAAATTAGTTTAGGTCTGTATTGCTCCAAACCTTGTAAGCCATGCTGAGAAATTCTGTTTATCATCAAGACTTTGAATTGGGTTCTGCCTTACCCCTCAGCTCTCCATTGTGTAACGATCTTTGGGAAGGCCACTCATAGACAATGTATTTAGCACACTTGAGTCTGGTGACAATTTAGACACAAAGGTGAAGGCAGACAGTTGCTTAAAAACATGCTGTTTGAAGAATAAAAGGATTGCCTTTCAGAAATGATTTCATTGAGGCAGGACTTTGGAACACGGCTGGGAATTCATATTTACCAAAGATAGTTTGTGGTGGTTTACTAATTAAGGATGTTCCTGGTTTCATTCTCCTTCCTTTCTTCCCAAGGGTTTAGATGTAGATTCTCTGGTCATCGAGCATATCCAAGTGAACAAAGCACCTAAGATGCGCCGACGAACCTACAGAGCTCATGGTCGCATTAACCCATACATGAGCTCTCCCTGCCACATTGAGATGATCCTTACTGAAAAGGAACAGATTGTTCCTAAACCGGAAGAGGAAGTTGCCCAGAAGAAAAAGGTAAATTAGTAGTTGCTCAGTTTTGTTTGTGATAGTAGAAAGATTTGTGGTTGCTGTGATGACTATCTTAGGACACCTTTGGAATAACTATGAAAGAAAACTATTCTGAGCAACCCTTTCACCTATCTTTTTTTGGCTTTTGTGAGTTTGTTTCTTGACTAATAATAAAGGGTAGTTTTATATTCAGTACATGAGGCCTGTATGATTATCTGCTGATGGCCCCACTTACATGTACATAGCCACTTCAAAACCTCTTTTTTTTTTTTTT